GTCATCACCCAACCTCTGACCATAGAGCTCAGCCTTTAGGCCTCTTCTCTATAGATCCTTTCTTGGGCTTTATAGATACAACCTGCCTATATTTGGCGATAACTCCCAAATTTATGTCTCCAGCCCTGACCTGGGCCCAGATCTCCAGTTGCAGGTGGCCACTGGGTTATGTTCTCGAATCTCCACATGTACATCTAATAGTACATCTGGAACTTCCTCTTCCAGTCTTGCTCCCTTCCTACCACACACATCTGCCTGCTCCTTGAATCTCAGCTGGTATGCAGCTCAGTTCTTCTGCTTAAACCCATAACTATTCCTCACCCCCAGTCTGTGAACAAATTCAGTCAGCTCTGTGCTAAACTGACTTCTCAGCACCCTACAGCTGCTGACCTGGTCTTTTCCACCATGGTCTCTTGGCTGAATTTTACATCTTCTCCCTATCTTACTTCCATCTTTGCTCCTCTATGGTTAATTTTCAAAATAGTAGCCAAAATGATCTTTCCAAAATTTAGGTCTGATAGTGTGATCTCTCTGCTCAGAACTTTCTAATAGCTTCTTATCTTGCTCATGATAGAAGCCAGCATCCCTACAGGCCCCCCATTAACTGCCTGATCTTGTCTGTATTTGTCCCTGTCACTCACCTCGTTTGCCCTACTGTTCCCAGTGACTTAAACACTCAAACCTGCCCACCCAGGGACGTCACCTGCCGTGTTACACAGGACTAAAACACTCAGGGGTCACTTCAGGGGAACTGGGCTGCGCTAAATAACAAGAGACAGAAATACTTTTTTCTTTGGGGGGGCTGTGACGGCTCCTCTGACCTTCTGACCTTAAGGGTCCACAGAAAGAGAGAGAGAGAACACACACACATACACACACACACACACACACACACACGCTGACCCCTTTTATTGAGGAGAAGCCACCATTCAAATGAGGCCAGAGGTCAGTTTTCAAGGGGCTGAGTCTAGCCTCATTTGCTATCAGCAGGTTGACTGACATCTAGGAAGGCCACACCCAAGGGCAGAGTATTAGAAGGGGACACATAAAGGGCGTTTCCATGGAACATTCTATCCCAAACAGGGCAAGGGGTTAATATCACAAAGGAACAGGCGAGCATAGCTCGACCCATGGGGCTGCAGGAAGGCATATCTGGTTGCATTATTTCTACCCTTAAGATCGGGGCTACCGTCTTTGGCTACTTAGCCGAATCATGGGATGGTGGTGGGGGGAAGACCGACAGCAACTCAACCAATCAGGAGAGGAAAAATACTGGTCACATGACATGGCGGCCTCCCACACCCTAAACTAGCCTGTTGCTCCTCCAACCTGTTCCGACCTTGGACTTTGTACTCAATGTCTGCTATGCCTGATTTGCTCATCCCCTAGATGTGTCTTTGATTAGCCTCTTCACCTTCAGGTCTAAACTGTCATCTCTTTTTTTTTTTTTTAACTGCCACCTTTTAAGATACATCTTTTGGGTGAAGTCTTTCATGGCCACCTTATTTAGAATTGTAGCCTCACAGCCAGGACCCCGTACCCCTTCCTGTTTTCCTGTTTTCTGTGCTCTTGTCGCAGCCTGATGTACTGTAGATTTTGTGGATCCCTCCCCTAGTCACTGTGTAAACTCTGTGAAGTTGGAATGTGTGTCTGTTTTGTACTTCATTCCCAACGACCAGAATAGTCCCTGGAACATAGTAGATACTTAATAATTATATCATGAACAAATAAATGATTAAAAGTGTGGGGCTGGGGCTGTCACTACAGTGGTAGAGCACTTGCCTAGATGTGTGAGGCACTGGGTTTGATCCTCACACCACATATGAATAAATAAATATATAGACAAACAAATAAAATAAAGGTATTGTGTTCATCTACAAGTAAAAAGTATATTTTTTAAAAATGGCTGGGCGCGGTGACACACATCTGTAATTCCAGCGGCTTGGAAGGCTGAGGCAGGAGGATCGGGAGTTCAAAGCGAGCCTCAGCAAAAGCAAGGCACCAGGCAACTCAGTGAGACCCTGTCTCTTAATAAATACAAAATAGGTCTGGGGATGTGCCTCAGCGTCAAGCGTCCCTGAGTTCAATCCCTGGTATCAAAAAAAGAATGAAAGTGCCTGAGCCAGGTACTGCTTAGCATCTTACTGATTGGGTGATGGCAGCACGTGAAAAGTCCTGGGTTTAATCTCTATGGGGGTTTCATGGTACTGAGGATC